CCCTCTGATCTTATGCAACATCCCGTTGGATCTGAAAAGATCACCCCCTCCAAATTTGCCTCCAGGAAGTATAGAATTATTATAAAGTCCCCAGGATTGGAGGGTAAATGATCTCATCTGGACCAGTATAGGGTAGGCAATTTGTTCTCAATCCCGTAGTAGATTTCCTTTTCAATAAATTTGAAAAAATGATTTTAAAAATCCTCTTCATTAGATGACTGTGAGAACCAGGTGTCACTATTTCAGCAGAATGCCTAGCTCTTACTGACTGCTCAATAAATGTAGATTATGTCATAAATTTGTTTATACCCAATGCTCCCACTTTCAATATATCCATTCCTCATTAAATTTGTTTAAATCTCAGCTTTCCTCAGAGTCCTCCTAAATACCTATTTGAGTCATGAACTAGGTGGGCCAGTGTTCCCCACAAAATCTGCTTTGTGTTTTCTATTGGATACTTGGAATAGTGTGCCTTCAATCATGCAGCCATTTCCTAGGCAGTTGCTAAATGTCTACTATGGGTTCACAAACAGTTGCATTAAAATCTTCAGGGATTTAAGACGAAAGATTCTGAAGTTATTGCCCACTCTCTGTAAGCAGAGTCTAAGATATGTGATGACAGAAATTGTGTTTTGCAGTTTTTGTGTAACTAAAGAGACTCAAGTGTGGATGCTGGATTCAGATTTGTTAGTGAGTTGTAGTTGTTGGGAAATGTTTTCAGTGTCTCGAAAGTTTTGTCTGCGTGTGACTTCAAGAGCATGACATCTATACTCTCATCAGGCAATTCATAACAGAAACCCCGGATGTAGTAACATGAAACCTCTAGTGACTTCAACCATCTTTCCATCTTGTCTTCTTGTTTCCCACTGCACAGACGCTCTTAGGCAAGTGGTATGAAGTCATAGTGGTAGACAGAAGGGCTGCTTATTGCAGTAATTTTGTAAAAACACAATGAGTAGATTCCTCTCCTATACTAACATTATTGATAAATGTGACTTTTTCATTCTTAAGAAAAAAAGAATGAAAAGGGATAAAGCAAGGTTTAAATTTAATGGGTGTACCCCTTAACAAGTCACACATGTCAGAACTGATAAGTCAGAAGATCTAGCAAGAACTGTGAAACTGTAAGAAGATTCTGTTGTTTACCATAACTGAGTTAATCTTCAAAGTATCTCAACAAAAATAACAGTTCTTTAGTAATTGTCTGCAAAGATTCAGACAACAAAGATCTTAAAGAGCTAGAATTCCATCCAACCTAGGGATTCTTCCTAAGGACTTTGCTCAATATTTTTGAGATCGTTTCACTCTAAGAGAGTTAGACTGTTTTTCACATTAGACACACCGAGATTTAAATCTCAGTCATACTAAACTGTAGCTCCTCTGTAAGCTCTCTGAAATTCAGTTTGTAAGAATCAATGCAATAGCATACATGACACAAGGGGTACAGGGTACAGTGCAAAGAATAAACAGTAGGTGATGTTACTATAAGTAAGAGATGGTATCATTCAATTAGCTGAAAAGAATGGCCTTAGGCAAATTCTTTCATCATGCTAGGGCATGTGGATTATATCTAAAGATATTGCAGAATGTGCAAGAGGCAGTATAAAACACACACACACACACACACACACACTCCTCACAGATTATGTCATTATGAACCTAAATATTTGAGCTTCATGTAAAAGTATTTTCTCTCCATGCAAAATCTAACATTCCGAATCACTTGAATTACCCATTCTATAATTATTTGAACTGCCTGTAATCTTGAAAAGCATAATATTGGGAAATAAAACTTAGTCATTGTATAGCTGATAGTTACAATTATTTATGCATCTATGTCAGTAGATCAATTCATATACCAATGATATACTACTAAAGAAGAGAAATTAAAATGCTTTCTCTCCCTCAACCTTTTGGTTCACATTTATATCATCAACTCACATTTTTTTGCATTTCCCCCAAGTCATAATGTCATTCAAAATATGAATTTTAAAGTATTTGCACTGGAGTTGCATAAATCTGCACACTGGAAAAGTGTTTCTCAAACACAAAACTCACAGGAAGCCATTTGAGGAATTCTCATCCTACCTTCCCTCCTTTAAGTAAATAAAAATATTTCAATCTAATAATTATGTCTAGCTTAGTATATCTCCCATTGACCTTCACATGCCAACTGCCCTGATGAGAAAACTCTTGAAACTTTCAGAGAACTCAACTCCCACACCACCCAGAACTGCAACAAAAAAAGGCCAATAGAATGTTCTAAATAAAATGCTCCATTTGTAACTTCAGCTGCAAAGAACATAACAATAGACATTTAAAGTCAAATATATAATTTTCTGCAAAAAAAAATAATTTTTCTTTGCTAGAACTGCTAACAATGATCCAGGTTCTGAAAACTGTGACTTGTTACTATTTGTAAAACAACACTTAATTCTTCTTCTTTCCTTGTCCTAAGAGAGCCATTCAAACAACAATTGTCCAGATATGTGGTTGAAATGGAACTGAAGGACTTGACAGTGGTGGGTCAAACACTGTGGAACTCTACTCTTCAGGAAGTGCCTTGAAAGTCCTCCTCCTCCTCCTCCTTTTCTGTTAGGCATGATTTGACTCACGGAAGGGTGTGTGATGGGTGGTGTGTAAGAACAAGGGATGAGCCTGGCATCCTGGTGTGGTTGTAAGCACACAACCACAACCACAGCTAGAGGCATTCTCTACCTCTCCCTGAAGATATAAACATGTGGGGCCTATTTTTAAATGACAATTAAAAAATAAAATTTGGTGCTATTCTGGAGGTGAAAAAGTCTATTAATATGACGCTAATTAGATAATCAAAGTTTTAAAGGGCTGATTATATCCTGTTCTGGTATTTAGGAACCCGGAGGAAACACTAGGATTTAGAGAGGACTGACAGAAGTTTCTGAACACATGAGAATACCCTATATATGCTCTGCCCAATGTGAGCATTGAATGTGGCTTGCATGGTGGAGAAATTGAATTTTAAGTGTTGTTTAAATTTAATTTAAGTTTATGAAGTAATCATATCCATGTATGAAAATAGAATAATGAAACCATTAAAAATTGTTTTAAGAAGGAGGGGGGGAAAGTAAAGAGTACTAGAGAGAGTGAATTTGATCAAAGTACATTATACTCATGTATGGAAATATTATGAAAACCGTTTGCTAGTTTAAAAGAGAAAAGAAAGTTTAAAAACACAATAGCGTATTTGTAAAATAAAACAATTTAAGAAGTTAATAGCCATTGCCATGCCAAGCAAGGCAGCTTTAGAGGAATCACACTAAATTTACCAAGAGTCTACACAGTGCTTTCTGCAAACCATTCAAATATCCACAAGTATGTGATTGCGAAATCAGTGCTGATTATAAGTAAATCTATTCACCAACTGAAACCACAGTAAACTTAATCTACTTAATCTATTGATTTCTCTGTGTTTTCCATGGCCTTATAGAAAAAGAAGAAGAAAGTAAATAAAAAAGAGGAAGTCAATTATTTCTCTATTTTGAAATCAGCATGTCCCTGCATTATGGTATTAGAGAGAAAGAAAGGAAGGAAGGAAGAAAGGAAGGAAAGAAGGAAAGAAGGAAGGAAGGAAGGAGGGAGGGAGGGAGGGAGGGAGGGAGGATAATGGAGAATGAAAAACACTAATAATAAACACTAATAACAACAAAAACAACTAGGAGTATTTTATGGAGAAGGAAGATGTGGAGCATTAAAGAAGAGTGACCTCTAATTTCCACCAATGTCAAAATATGAGGGCCAGGAATCAACAATCAGATAAAGTAGGAAGCTGGGAAACTTCAAAATGTATTTTGCTGCTCAGTGGAATGCAACCACAGGACCCAATAATCCTAAGCCTTCAAGAGCCCTTAAACATTATCCACTTCAAACTGTTCTGCAGATATATAAATAATTTGAAGACCAGAGAAGTGAAGTACCCAGTGTCCCTGAGATAATACCCAAGCCTGGTCCCAGATCTCCCAGGTTGTCCCCGTCCATTGTGACTTTCCCTCTGCCTCTGCTGAGCACAGACTGATCCTTGAGTAGATAAAGAGCCTCCTCTCCATCCCACTTGTCCCAACCTCTAGGGAGCAGAAAATAAAGAGCATTTTAACCATGTTACTCTGCTTGACACAAAAGCTCCTTCACTTGTGTGGCAGGCCTAAAGACTATGCAGTCTACACAGTTCACCAAGTACATGGTGGAAAAGAAAATTGCAAAAGAGGATGGTTAGCATGAGGGTAGTTTTTGAGTTTTACATGCCTTTTGTGGTTGAAGTGGCTCACACTGTATCCACAAGTTACATGGGTTCAACAGAGACTGTTTCAAGTTTCAAGGCAAATGAATACTCATTATGCTATTGATGACTCCCTGGGACAGTGAAAAGATGTCAAGATGAAAGAAAATGACCATTTTAATGAGAAAAACAAGTATTCTTTTTAGAGCTATTACTTGGATATATCCAGCTCAAAATTCTCACTTTACAGATGAAAATATTGAGATGTCAAATTGCAAAGGACTGTGCCAAGTCATACAGTTGTTAGGGAAAACTGTTATCTTGGAAGCAAGATTTCTGTTTCAGAGTTGTTGTTACTCGAGATACCACAAGTCAGAAAAAGGGAAAGAAAAGGACACTTATCCTGCATATGTCATATTTTTTTAAGTCTGTTTTTCTCAATTTGAGTTATACTTTGAAATGAAATTTCTCATAGTTTTGTTAGTAATTTCATGGAAACAAGAAAACCATGTGTCAGGGGCTATGCAAAAGATCAGGAATAAATTCACTTTATTGCCTGAATTTTATAAACTTTCTTGGTTCTCAGATAACCTTCCACAGATAAATGCCACACTACTGCTGATAAGAGCAGAAGATAAATAACACTGCACATTTTAAATGTCATGTACTTTGAATTTTATACTTCTTATAAATGAATCCATATGAGAAAAAGAAAATGCTAAATAAGTCCATTGGTGAGGCTTACATTCTGGTGTTGCTGGTCTTGTTAATGATAACAGATTTTCCTGTTTGATCCACATTGTGATCCAATCCAAAGTAAGCTGCCACCCGATGAACAAGCATCCTCTGATACGATGACATCTGAGGGAACTTTTTGTAATGATTACTGGAACACAGTTACAGGAAAGAGTAGAGTCAGCATTTTCATTTCTCATCCATAGAACATTTCACAGGTATACTCACAACACAGCTCTTTTTCAGCCAAGCTACTAAGCCTATTTCATTTTTGATATGATTTAATGTCCTCATTTTCAGACAAAATTTCCACTTTACTATAGATTTATTGATTAAGCCACCATAAGTATCATTGTTTCATAGCTGTACATTTCTCTTGCCAAAGAGAACTTAATGTTTGTTGGAAAGTATTCTGCTTTAGTCCATGATACCTTATCAACACAGCCAGGCAGAGGACAAATGACATGACATAACGTGTGACTGCAGATGCCTATCTGGAGATGTGTCATTACCCGGTTTACACCAAAACCAGCACAATTATTTCCAGGCATAACTGACTGCAGCCAGCTGGAGCCCATTAAAAAACTATAATAAAAATGAAAAGGGTCGCTTCTTGTTACAGCTACTCTATGCTAATCAGTGGTCCCTGTTTATGGCCATTTTGTCAGGAATTTAACAAGCAGGAGCACTACATGGTCTAAGCAACAATTCCCATCTGCATACAACTCCCAACTCCAAGAACATCTCCATTTAACAAATCAACAACCATATTAAACAATGTTTTATCTACCCCTAAGTCTTTCCTGAATGAATAATTTAACCCAAATTACACTAATCATAAAATTAGGCAGCATTGCAGTTTAACATACTTGTTGTCACCAATGAAATCAATCATTTCCTGCTCCACTTTCAAGAGTATCATCCTGTCCCTGCAAAATAAATGTTAACATAAAAGTTTTTATGTACTTTTCACCTCTCAAGGACCTAGTTTATTAAAAATATGGAAGAGATGACTTAAGTAAAAGTGGTTACAAGCTAACGTATCTTTGGAGTATACTGATCATTTATTTATACATTATTTTCCTGTACTCAAGGTTATTTATCACATTTGTTAAGGATGTTTTAGTGTCTAAATTTTGTATTCTTAATGCTAATTATGACATGCAAAGTATTAGAATAACAAGGCATAACAAATAAATAGTATATTTTAAACTGTTGGGATACTGGGATGAAACAAAGCCCAACTATTGACTACAGATGTTTATGTAAATGCACTGAAGCATACTTAATTTATTTAACTTTGATCATTTTTGTTCTCTATTTTTTTCTCCTTGATCAGGATCTCTGTGACCAGGAAGGTAAATCTGGTAAACTATAGTTTATTCGGTGAGTAACTACCTAGGTATTAAGACCATCTACCAACAGTAAACATGCAAACATTATCAGAAAAGAGAAAATGCAGCTGATAGTTTAAGACGTCAGGGAAGATTATATTATACCTGTCTTCTTAGCAGTTTTTGGATTAGTTACTTTGTAATATTCTATTTGAACCTTCCCAAAAGAAGAGGCTATTTAATAATTTACCTGGAATTATTCTTTAAAGTGTTAATCAGAAACTCCTGTAAGTCTATGCCTGTAGAATCCGTATATTCTTGGCTGCAATCTGAAACAAACAGCAGTAATGTCAGGAATGATGGTGGGAAGGTAGGGTGAAAAGATTTTCCCAACCTTTTTCATTATCTTCTGCTCAAGTAAATTTGAGATGAAGCTACTGGCATGAAAATATACGTTCTAAAACTTGCAACCTGGCAGTACAACCTCAGAATGAAACTGAGATTGGAGGATTGAAACAATCTTGACTATGGAAAGACCCAATGTCACAGTAGGAGAAGAGTGAACATCGTGGGGGTGGAGTCAAATATCACATGTGCACTCTGTGCTAAAAACCACCCGGGGCTCAACCTACACATACCAGGCACCTCCCAACACACAAAGACCTCAAGAATTTGAGATCCCATGAGAACCCTTTTTCTCTTAAAACAGAGAAGGTAAAAAATGAAAGCTCCATTAAAAGAGTATCTAAATATTAATCAATACAAAACATGGGGGGACACTAAATGTTTTCAAGTTTTCAGGTCTCTGGATGCTGGATAAAACTTAATTTCCATAATCAGTTTTGAAATCTGAACTTTACTCTTGTGTACATCCTGAGTTTAGCCATTCAGGAGCCATGTTAACAGAAATGTGGTGACAGAGCACAATGCTAGAGCAATTGTTATTCCTCAGCTGATCAGATACCTGATTTGTTTTTTTTTTCTCAGGTATTTACAAACAGTCTTGAGTCAGGTCACGTATTCATGATACTCTTAATTTCAACTTCATTTTATTTTGTACAATGAAAATTATGGCAATGATTTGAACAGTCTAGATTGTAGTTTTAGAAGAAACGCCTTTTTTTTTTTTGGAAAACTATTGAAGTAGAGTATATATTTTTAAGTGAAACAGTATGTGACAGAATATGGGTATAGAGACCAAAGTCCTCTGTGCCAAGTAAAATATTCCATTGACATACATACATCTGTGCTTTGGAGACCACATCACTTATTGAATGAAAATTGCTAAAGAAATTGCTATCTGTCTGTTAAGATAAGCATGAGGGTGAAAGATATAAAACTGGTTATTTATTATGGTTCACTCGCCCAAGTTAATTGTTCTAATGAACCTAAATTTAGTAACATTTATATTTACTCCCTTGAAAGAGCTCGTCATTGCAAAAAGGAGTTTAAATGTGAATCCAAATAATATATATAAAACAACCATTTTAGCCACACAAATAATGGACCATGAACAGAAAGAAAATCAAGTTCACTTCTTTTACATACACACATGTATACACATGCAAACTTATATATGCAGAGTTTGCTGGGAGGTGTGAATATACATGTGATTTAGTTGTCTTTTGGTTACATATAGGCCCACACTGAGTATGGTAAGGAAATATTTTCACATTCACCTTTTGATAACATTCTGATCTTGGGTTTTTCAGAGGTTTTATCTTTGTTTTTATCCTTTTCTTTTTCTCTTTCAGAGTCATCTTTCCTAGATTTATCCTCCTCTTGCAGGCTGGGAAAACTGGAAAGCTGTAAATGAATTGATTCCTGTTGGGAAAAAATATAATAATTTAGGGCTAGATTTAATCATTTCTGTCTGGCTTCCATTTTGCATAGAGGTTATTGAGTACAGGAAAATGAAAGCCAGGTGTGGATTTCTTTTTCTTAAAAATATTAAACCTGTCAGAAAAATAATTGCCCTGTAAGGTGGATTGAACTTCAGAAGTCAATGGAAGGTCATGAGAAACAACTAGTACTGAAACTTTGCTTCATGAATATTAACCTTAATCAAGTCAAATTCCTGTAGGTTATAATTCTTATTTTCTCTACAGGTTTATTTTTAATTCCTTTATCAGTAAGCTTGCATCAGCACCACTGTCATGTCTAAAAAAAGGCTTCTGTACTTCTTTCCTCTAACTCCTTATAAGGGAAAACTGGCAAAAACACAGACAGACAGCTTTTACAAATCATCATTACATAGGGAAGACATAAAGAAAGCCCACAATAGGGAATTTACAATAAAAACTCTATTTTAGAACCATGTCAACAATGATTTTTACTACTATGAAAAACAAACTCTGTAACTATAGGAATTCTAGGTGTGAATCATCATAATTTTTTATAAATGCTAAAAATAGATCATTAAAATATACCATTGCAGTAAGTATTGCCTTTTAAAAAATGTAGCAAGTAGAACTACACTTTTGTTAACTATATATAAATCTTTTTTAAAAATTTAGTGTCAGTTAACCCTCTCCAAAATAAAAGATCTGTTGAACTCATGCTTGGGCTAGACCTACTTTTACATTTATTTATTTTACACTAAAAACAGATTGTTTTGTATTAATTCACATATATTGGCCATTTGCAGGGAGGTGTTTTGAAGAAGAATGAACCAAATCATGTTTTCTAGCTTCTTGAGTAACCTATGCTATAATTAAAATAATGACAAATTAGAGAACATTAAGCTCATTGTTCTTATGTAAGACATCACTTGGTGAGAAAGCTTTATGATGTAGGGGAAAAATAGTACATGACTGATAGAACAGCTCACAGAAAGCTAAGCTAATGCTCACTCTACATGTGACATGTGAGTTTGCTCCTGTGGACAAACTGGGATTCGTAATGGTGCTAGGCAAATCTGGTTAACCCAACAAGCATAAAATGAAAGTCCCCCGAAGCCAACTGTCTTTGTTTGGGAGGGACTCCATTATGAACTCCTGGCTAGAGTAAAATCACCAGGCTTGGGAAAAACCTACCATATAGAGGATGAGATAAATCATGTTCCCATCATAAATATTTTTCTAAGTTGGGTTTTCTGACTTTTTCATGTTTATCTGCAGGATGGTCACATACAAAATATGTAAAACTGAGTGTAATTTGATTGTAGATTCTTTCACATGATTTGGGGCATAAATGTCTTAATCTGAAGCGTTCAGACAGGTTCTAGGGTTATCATGTGTTTCTCCTTGTCCAGAAGTATGCTGGGATATTGCTCACTAAAAACCCATGGCTGGAACTGTGGTGAGGAAGAATCAATCCACCAGCTGATCAAGAGGGAAGCTGGGTCCCTGGGCCATGAAAGGTGCCTCATTGCTTCTTCAAAACCAATTGAACATCTAGCCTCTATACATTTGAATGTAAAATCACAGAGGCTTGGAAATATATTAGAAATGCAAGAGCAGAGGCCAAAGGACATTCACTATAGATACTAATTCACAATTGATACCATGTGTTGACAAATACTATATTTAGAAAAGAACACTATATTTTCTATACATTACGGTGTTGAAAGAACACACAAAAGTGCTTTAGAGTTGGTAGAAAACAATCTGTTATTTTTTAATATTTTTATTGATATACTCAATAATAAAATACAAGTATTAATAAATACATCATTACAGGATAAGTTTATATCCAACAACAATAAAAGAATGATTCAAGTTGCAGTAATACACTGATAGGTAAATAGTATAACATTAGAAAAGCAAATTTCCTTTAACTCAAGGACAGACTCAGGTGTGGGTCTGAGATCAAGTAATACAGGCAGGAAGAATTCCCACAGGAAAATGAAGGCAGTTTTCCAAATACTGTGAATATACAAACACAGGGGAGCGATACAATCCATGTACTGTATACTTCTGCCACTGTTCTCTGGGATTCAGTCCATACATTGTATAAGTGCCGATGGTATCTAACGAAGGCATTGCATCTAAGCTCAAAGATCTGCTTCTTTATTCTCTAAAAAAGTAGCACAGCCACTTGATTATATGTGTGTGGGGGGTATTATCTAGCAGTCCCCTGTTCCCATCACTCCTCAGCTAGCCAAAGAAAAGCTTGTGGGGTCTAATTCTCTCCTACAAAGCTAGTCTTGCTTTCTGAGCTTAGAACCAGCAGGAACAAAGCACCATTTGCATCTTATTCCTCTGCACCAATCATATAGAGAAACTAGGCTTAGGTCTGGGGTGGGCACTATGGTACAGATGATATCTTACAAAAACTCATCCTGTGCCCTGTCAAGTGGGACAAAAAGCAGATTAAGTCTAGAGAGGCTGTCTTCTTCTGCCTGGCAGTAGACTGGGGGACAACTGGGTCATTACTTCTCCCAGGGTCTGTCATTCTGCAGAGTTAACATATATCATGTGCAGTACATTACAAACCATCAATCAACATTTCAGAATACAAGCCATGATATTCACATCTTCCCCCTTCTCAATCTCCATTAAAATAGAAGCACAAATAAAATGCTGAAGAAAAGCCACACATTTCTCAGAGCCCAAGTAAAATTAAGCATGTATACGAAACATAGTAATGGCTACTGAATGATAGCCGGTCCATGCCTTATGACATGAGTGGCATGTTAAAAAGATAAAGCTAGAAAAGAAAAAAATACTCTCAGGACAAATCTATAAGGAATTTATTTTTGGTCCTTTTAAAGAAAGTGCTCTCAATGCTCTCTGTATTGACAAAAAGAATTTAGAGGATTTCAATTAAAGTAAAAAGAGAAAACAAAACAAAACAAAACAAAAATAATGATATCTTAATCAATTTTTGCTCCCTTGGGCTCAGACAAATCATTTTACTTTGTCTTGACTGTTCTCAGGCTCTGATAAAATAAGCAAAATTTCAGCAAGACTATTTTTATGGAAGCTAATATAATGCCTAAAAGGTAAACAAAAATAAATAAGATGTGAAGTTTTCCATTTTGTCATGGAAGAGTTTTGTTGGAATTTAAATAATAGAGATTAATAATCTTGCTGTAAGGAACAAAAATAAAAGTAAAGGTATGCAGTAATATATTAATAATATTAAATTCACCATCAGCTACAATTTTTGTAGTATTGAGAAATCTCCACATGGCCATAAAAATATCTCCAAATTCAATGCACCTTACTCACTATTCCTTAAGTTTCATAGGAGCCGACACCTGGGTTTCTTATAGGCAAGTGCATTTTGGGGAGGCTCAGAGGTAAGCAGTCTCCAACAAAGAAGGAGACAGGGTGCTTAGGACTATATTTGGTTCAGCCTTATCAAGAGAGAGCCTTTGAGGAAATTCAGCACTACTGTGCTTACTTTTAATTTAAGGTTTAATCTAAATTCTTTTGAATTCTTTCCATTTGCAGTTTTCAGAGAGTCTGAAAAAAAAACAAACGTAATACTCTGTGATAAACTTTTAAACTATTTTAGAATGTCTCATAAATAAGGGATGAAACAAGAAAATTATTTCTTTCTTCAATTACATTTTTCTCCCCCAAACACTATTTAATGGCAATTTCATCCTCATGCACACAAAGACAGCTCCAATTCATGCAGTCAATGATAAGGACAGGGGATATACCTGATCCTGAAGACTTTCACCTCCTGGTCTGGCTGACTCCTCACAGACTGCAAGACTCCGAGTCAGTTTACCTTTTCCTGCTCCTGACTGGGATATCGGCAGGGGGCGGGGCGGGGGCGGGGCGGGGGGCGGGGGGTGGCGAGGAGGGGATACAAGAAGAGGAGTGGAAAGTAAAGAAACAAAGAAAATAAACAGAAAGCATTCTCAGACTTTCAACTCATCTCCACATTTGCATGACACTCTCAAATCAGATTTTTAAATTCAAGTGTTAAGTCTGCTGCTTGCTTCTGTCTACACTGGGACAAACATCAGATCTCTCTGCTGCTGGGGATGTGGGTAAACTGAATGCGAATGCAGGAGCCAGTTTAGCTAACTGTGACCATCACATCAGGAATCCATGAAGTATATGCTATTGTGATTGCATGAAAATATTAGGGGAAAAATCTGACAAAACTAACTTCCATTAAAATTAAGTTTGGAGGGGACTGGGAAGGTGCTTAAAGAACAAGAAGGTATGCTGAGCAAGTCATGGACCCATTTACCTAAAGGCAAAAATCAGTTGGTTTTATTTAAAATAAAAACAAAGCAAGCAGCTACTCCTTTTGTAAAGCACTACCAAATCTCCAAGTATGAAAACAGGATCAAATGTATACATTTACAGCTCTTCAGACTCTAAATACTCTCAATTAGGAAGCATTTGAGTGAGGAAAAAAAAAAAAGGCAGTGAACAAAGTTACACTGAAATCAAACAACTGCAAACTCCACAACATCTGAATTGTGGGCAACCCATTATATGAGAAATAAGCAATGTATAGACATGACATGGAGGTTCTCAGGAATCCTACCTTGGATTTTCTTCTCTCTTGGTTCTGAGCTGCCAGTCGTCTCTGTGTGTTAGAAACAAAATAAAATGAATAGTAAACCAGAGAGAGAGAGAGAGAGAGAGAAAGAGAGAGAGTCAGAGACAAGACAGAGAAAGGAAAGAAAAGGAGAAAGGTGCCAGTACAGTTTAGAGTAGAGAAGTCAACACTAACAGCAGTCAGGAACTTCTTAAAACACTTTGGAAACATTAACTTTTAGCTCACTCTCCTTACAGCAAACACAGGAGAGGAAAAAAAGCCAACCTGATAGGTTTTTGACCACTACAAGTTTACCTGTCTCATATATAAACTTTGTATATAAAAAAAAAGTAGCACATATACTAGTTTACTTCAAGGAAAATCAATACAGGCTATTTGCAAGCTGTTTTTGTTGCCTTTACCAAATCTCTCTCTTTCTTTTGGAAATCATGGTTTACTTGATCATGACACTTTGCTACATCCTTGAATCATTCTCAGCAACCCCCCATCCCCACCCCACACCCTTTTTCTGGTGTTCCAACTCTTTAACTGGAAATTCTTAGCCTTAGGCTTGCTTGATATTAAGATTTGATATCTTAGCACACCCATGAAGGTCAACAGAGCTCATGTTTTTGACATTTCTTAGCTGCAAATTGAGTCTTCATCTCATTTGCTATGGACTAGCAAATCTATTTCTAAGACTCAGATAGCCTAAAACTGTCTCTAAGGAGGACTTGCAGGAGCTCAAAGTGGTCTAGCAACTGCTATTGGGTGCTGTTGTATGCAAATTCAATAATTAAATATGCTCCTTAGTTTTCATTTCAAAGGCATTTTAGAGTATGATTCAGTCAGGGAAAAAAATGGGAGATTAGTATTAGAGATTTACGAGTCATTTAAATACTAAACTCCTAAAAAAAAATCTTCAAAGTATTCTAGAATTAAAGGAATAAAACAGATGCCTGTGGAATGAAGATGAAGGTCTCCCTGGGCTCACCTGCAGTTCCAGTTTCTCCTCTTCATCCAGACTTTCTGATTTTACTATGCCATTCTCTGGAGCAGCCTCCTGCTCAGTCCTTCCTTCCTCCACTATCGCCTGGTTCAGGTCGCCTTGCTCAGACATTCTCTCAGATGAAAATTAAAATAACAAGGTTTTATGCCCTATGAAGTTAGAATATCAAAAAAAAAATTCAGTACAGGTGAAGTGTTCACTGTTATTCTTGAGATATTTCATTTCACTCTTTGCATTCAAATTCAAATGAGCAGCCCAGGCATTCCCACCAATTTTAAATAAAAAGGAGGATCAAACAAGATGAAAACAGATCCTTAATGTATGAGAGACAAGGGGAAATTGCCCCATTCACCTCCCCTACACACACACACACACACACACACACACACACACACACACACAACTTATAAGCACACCTTCCATTAAAATGGACCAATAACTCTTGATAGAGACATATAACTCCCACCCTACTGTCAGTGCCCAAGTTCCACTACAAAGTAGAGGAAGAAAATGAGAATATTTCTCCAAGTCTTGAAAAAATGCCCCTCAAATTCTGAGTCAAGAGGTAGTACTAATGTTCCACAGCACCTCCAAGAAGACTCAAACATTATTTTTGAGTTTCAACCATAGAAACACTTTCCGATGTATGAGGAATACAATACATTCTACAAGGGACCAAACTCAACTGAAGAAGTAATAATTCAATATAAATATGGGATCTAATTTTGGCAATAAACCTTTCAGGGTTAACATTTCCAGTCTTCAAACTGACAGCTGCATTAATAAAAGCATAAGCCGTCTCTCAGGCTCCTGTTGGCTGCCCTGGCTACAGGCAGGCTCCTGTGGAAGAAAGCCTTTGGCAGACAGCTCTGACGATGCCATCCCACTGACCTCACCACCAACCTCACCAGAGACTGTGACACAGACTGGAAATGGCTCTTCAAAGTTAAAGACTTATTATTTTTAACTCCCTACCTCCACAAAACTCCTGACGCTTCTGCCCCTGCCGATGTGTAATGTGCTGTTATATGAGACTCATGAATAATTTAGCATTTACTTCCTCCTAATTTTTAAGCTATGAGAAAGAGAAAGGGAGGAAGGAAAGAAGGAGGGAAAAGGGAGGGAGAGAGGAAAGAAAGAAGGAGAAAGAGGAAGGGAGGGAGGGCTAGAGGAAAGAGAAGGAAGGGAGAGAGAAAAGAAAAAGAAAGAAAGGAAGGAGAGGCAAGGTAGGAAGGTGGGAGGAGAGAGAAAAAGAGAGAAACTGTACCTTAGAGAGTGCATTCTTTCACAAAAATCCCCAAGCAATGACTATCCCATTCCCATTCCCAGTCCTTACAATGGTAATTGTTAATGGACAAATCAGTGCTATGATATATTTATTTGAGAGTGTTTAATCATCATTTGTTATTTATTTTCAACTAGAAATAGGAAGCATGAGAAAAATTTACACCACAGCAATTTTTATTGGGAATTCACTAAAATCTACCATGACAGAACAGATGGTATGTAATGACATTGTAAAAGTACACAGGCTCATTTGGCAAAGGATTGTGGGAATGTAAAGGGAAAAGTTTTCCTAAAGGATGGTGGGTTTGCCCCTAAGTGAGCAGTGCTTTTAAGTTTGGGAAGGTTTTAGGATCCGGTGCTCTTGGATAGATTTCTCCTATTTCAGTGGCAATCAGTACATGTGGTTAATAAAATAAAAGTTCTGTTCCCCAGTGGCACTTGTTTCTCAGTGTGTTAGGCAGGGGGAAGAGAAAGGATTTCTGTTACCCTAATTCAAAGCATTTCAGTAAAAAAATAAATCATGACTAGATTTAAAATCAAGTGAACAAATTGGTCTCTAATTTTCCAAGCTACAAGCCAAATAAATCCCGATGCTGATCCTGGGTATTATAGTTACATGCAGTGAGCTGTTCCATGCAAACAGGCACATTTGCGCAATATACAATAAGATACAGATGAGATGTCAATTAGACAAGCCCTTTACCTTTCCCGCAGAATTCCTGCTGTAGGTCTTGGCGACTTACTTGCGGCTTCTGTTGCTCCACACCGGGAAAATCCACACAAGTGATCACAGACAACTGGCGTCCCATGTCCCATTAGCAGCTTGAAGTGCCCATTTCCACACGGTTCCCTCACACAGCTTGACACATCATCGTCAACCTAAAAAAGATGAAAAGTAAATAATAATAACTGCAATAATCATGGTAGGGTGAAGCAGAAAATAAATAAGTCAGGGTTTCTAACACTAGTGACCAGCTTCCAGCAAATCACGTTCACAGCTTCATCCACTCCACCTGTCTCAAGCTGCCTGCTTCTTCCCTAATGAAGGCTACAGCCGGCTGTTCAAGTCACAGCAGCACCCACGCAAGGAGCTAAAATTAACAATTGCATTATGCACTGAAGATTACTCACTTCAATTTTAACCTTTTTTAGTGAAATCTCGCACTTTGTATTTAAAAAAAAAAAACAAGCTGTGTGTTTGCCTCAAAGAGAGTCAAGATCACCTATGAGCAAAAGTCTTGCCTCCTTTTTTTTACCGAAGACTTTGTCTTAATTATAGATTAATGAATGATATACCTTAATTCTGTTTCTATGACTCCTTTCTTTATGAAAGTTCCCTTAATGAAGTGCATTTAAAGGTTTTGATTTAATGAAGTGTTATCTATAAAGTTTAAAAAAGAGAGAGAAAGAGAAGAAAAAAAGAAAACTTTCATAATGGCATGACTGAGAGAGAGCATTTCACTCCAGTTATAGTTTAGGAAGAATTCCTAATATTCTCATTCCACAGCGAACACAATCTATCCAGGCCCCTCCCTCCCCATCAGGATTGCTCTGCCAGCTGGGCATCTGTTTGACAGCAAAGAAACATTGTCAGAGGGATGCAACAGATTTGCAAACTCCAAGCCTGTTGAAAACAGTCCATGCTTTTTCTCACAACTCCTACAAGAGCAGCGGCAAAGACAGCTTGAATGCAAACATAGAGACGGGCTCCTAATAACATTTGACAACACCAGGCTGCATCTCTTTCCTTTCCTCATAACTCCTCTGGGAGCACACCTGCTACCTTCAGCAGCACGCATACCTCTTCTTCATCTACCCACCCGTGAAAACACTAGCTACATCCCAGTTACTTTGTCTGAAGGTTGGAAACCCTCCTCGCAAGTTTAAATGAGCATGGCTGGTTCCACACAGGATTTTGCTGTGGCTATATTAATAACATATTAGGTTACAAAGCCATTTGTTGTGCAAGGGGAAAACAACTGTTGAAAATATAACAATAATTTCTAGATTTATTTATCTTGTATTAAGATGGATAATTTGGCTTTAAAATATGCATCTTGTGTTGTTAAGAATTAGGTGGTTATTAAGATAAGCCAACATGAATTTAGAAAAAAATGGGTGACTAACCAACAGTCATTTCACTCTTTCAACTTTGACCAGATTACCACAGCTACTGTAACTGATGCTTGGTATTAAACAGAAGTCAGCATGTCTTAAAATTAGGATCTAACAAATTTCTAATTTGTCTTAGAATAAACATCAGTGATAGATAGAATTACCAAATGCTTTTTGGTCTCTGTTTTCCTTTTCCCAAGTTGAAACAAGTTTTCAATAGATCACCGCAGCCCTTTGGCTTCCTCTTTCTGCCTCTCAAATTTATACAGCGCTATTTAATCCAGTATGTGAATGGCAATGCAGTTTCAAACCTAAGCCTTAGATACATCATTCCTGCTTCAGTAGGAGGATGCAAGATATAATCCTTTCCATGGAAAAAGAACAAACTGGTATTCACGTAACCAGCTCAAAGTGCTAACAGCCTGGATGTATGTGTGTGCATAATTACCAGGACACGTTTCAAAATAGCATCAAGCTCTAAAGTCAACGAGGTATTATTCTTGCATGCCTGAATCATAAAGTCATCATTTACCAAGATAAAAGAGAATATGGGCATATGGGAGTGAGCAGAGAGGAACATATGGATCACAAATATTTTTGTAACTGATTAAAATTGTTCTCTTTGCTAAGAAACCAGTGCCAGGAATTTAGCCTCATCCCAGCTTTCTCTCGGCCAAACCAGCCCCATTCTCTGTTGCCATTCAATCCTGATCTCCTTCAAGTTCTCTCATTTCACAAAAAACCAAAACGATAGTTAACAAATATTTTTTCTGCACAATTTGTTAGTAAATTTTCTTACCAAATTTTAAGTTTTAGAGCTGGAAGGCTAGAAAGAGAAGGAAGAATCTTTATATAAATACACAAAAATGTTATTATAGTCTTTTAGTGGAGTTATTATTTTACCATAATTCCTGGGGTATCATTTACTTTAAAAAGGCCATCAATAGTTTTCAAAAGAAGCCATAGGAAATTGACTATCAATGTCATTGGTTATTTATAATTAAGAAAATGAGCAAAGTAATTACTATTTCATATTATATTTATATTCAGGCTTGCTTTAGAGTTGAAACCAATAGCAATTAGGATTGTGGGGATGAGAAAAAGAAGGAAAGTGAAGAAAGGTGCAATGCAAAGCAGCAAATACACTTCCATTGCCACCAACAAGTGTGTCCTACTTTGTGTGTGTGTGTGTGTTACATATATTTATCACAGCAAAGCAGCAAGAATGCTGCAATGAAGGCAAGTAAACATCAGGATTTGATTCAAATTCCAGGAAGGATTTAGTTCTCAAGACATATCAGAACGGAAATTAAAGTTGAATACTATTTTCAAGTTATGAGGGTCATTTTATCAGTCACTTTTCTTCATAATACATGAAAAATTAATGCACAGATGACTAATCTTATCCTAAATCAGTATAAGTATTTTATGACAAAACAACAGTCAAGTTTTCCTTATGTAGACAGTGGAAATGTTTCTCCCCTATGCACTCTTCCTCCTTTTTCAGCTGATCACAGCTTAGCAAAAGTAAACAAACAAACAAATAAAAAACACTGGCATGTGGCAGTGACAGTAATGATGGGTCAATTTTCCACATAAGGTATGTAAATACTGAAAAACTATCTAAGCCAAATACAACCCATTCTCACAAGTTATTTTGTTAAAGTTTAAAAAGATTTTCAATATGCAAGATTAAGTTTAAAGACAGTAAAAAAAAACGGAGTATGTTCCCCTTAGAAATGAGAGTGACAATGGCATGAATAGTGTCTATATCAGTATTTTTAGCAAGTCTAGAACTTTCTAAAGTGACAAAAAATATCAGTGTGAACATTTCATGTGAACTTAATTTCCCAAAGAATGGTTTATCCCTCAGTACATATATTAGAAGCACTCAACCCAGAACTTGACCCTTTAATTATCAGGTCAACCCAATACACAGACATTCTATAAGATGCTTGAGCCACCTAGCAAATGACAAAATTGCAAGAAAACTATTTTGGAAGAAGAATCTAGGAGGAAAACCCTCTGTTTGAGAAAGGGAGGTTCATATTAGGATTTTATGGAATTGAAATGCTTTACATAAATATTCTTATTTAAGTTTAATTTAAAAGCCAAACAGTTTAAAAACATAGAGTAGCTATATATAGAATTTCACCTTTTCTTCTTTATAGTAACCCGTACAGAAAAATAACCTAGGTCAACATTTATCAGAATTCCAACAATGAAAGGAATGAATGTCAAAGCTTTGGGCATAAGAGTCTCTCCATAAAACTACAAATATCTTCAAAACTAGAGGAGATCTTATGTCAATAAAAACATCTAAAGAAAAGAGGTCATATGCCAGTGGTTCATTTTTCCATCCTTCTAATAAGTCTTTACTGAGTCTCTATACATATAAGGATGTTCTACATTATGACCAAATTCAGGTCAAATAACCCACTTTCCCATTGAACTTTTTTTCATTCTGCCTGAACATCATATGAATAAAAATAAACAAATCAATATACATTCCAAAAGATCAAACTCAGAAAATGATAGTATGAAAAGGGAAACCGGCATTCTACTTTACAAAATTTCCTCTGTTATACTGATGGCACATACCATGTTCAGAGTTGTTCTATGGATATAACCTGCCCTGGCTAGTATTTAACTTGTATAGGTACCCAATAAAGTGCATCATTGTCATTATCATCTTAGCAGTCTTGTCTTTCACGGTAAGATAAGCTTTGCAACTTTCCTCTGCAACGTGTACACTGCAGGATAAAGAGGTCAGGTGGGAGGAATATGACATTTAGAGAAACTACATCTCTGCCAGAGTCAGTACCTGTGGGGCCAATGTAATCCCACTAACAAAGGGAGCAAGCACCACTTCTCACTGAAAAGGATAACTCTACAATGTTTTTTTGTCAAAACCTTACTCTGGACATGGTCTTGGTGGACTACAAACATCAGAGTGTCAACAATCTAGAAGACAAGGCTGGATGGAATGGAGTGATCATATTCCAAAACGGGTATATCACTGACCTGATCTTTTTGTATCCTTTCCTTAATTTTTTTTTGTATATAAAAAGAATTATCTGACCAAAATCAATGACACAGACAGTAGGGTCAGTCAATGACATTGCTGCTATTTTAGAAAATAAATCAAGAGTGTGACAGCACTAAGGCTGATTTAAGTTTGACCAAGTGACCATTGAAACTAGTCCTAGGAATTTTTTTTTTTATAGTACTGGGGCTTGAACTCAGAGCCTTCACCCTGAGCCACTCCACCAGCCACATTTTTTTCTTATTTTATTATTTTTTTTGCGTGTGAAGGATTTTTCAAGATAGGTCTTGTGAACTATTTGCCCGGACTGGCTTTGAACCTTGATCTTCCTGATCTCTACCTCCTGAGTAGCTAGGATTACAGGCATGAGCCACTGGTGCCCAGCTTAGTCCCAGGATTTTTAAATGACCTCAACTTCCATAACCCATGTTATCTAGTCATCACCTCATTGTCAAAACCACTCTATTAAGAGTATAAGCATGAGTTATCTTCAGATGGGGTCATTAACCTACAGCAAAGCTTAAGCTTTAAAAGGAGTAGAAACACGGAGAACCACAGAACTACAAAGTACCTTTGTAGCTATGGCAAAGTTAGTCTAGCTGAGATTAAATCCTATGGTGTGGACAAGATCCAACACCACATAGTGGCAAAGTCCAGTCAAAAACAAGCTTTTCGACTGTTTGGTGGGGATAGAGGGTGACAGAGCTCTTTTTTAATA